GAGACGTACGTCCCTTAAAAACAGTTTGGAGGGTCCAAGTCAAAGTTTGGAGACTCTTGAATGTATTTTCGCTGATGATAAAGTTAATATCACATACTTCCTATTTTGTTTATCGCTAATATTTGTTGTCTCTTATGTTTCAAGGTGTTAAAATGGAACAGTCGTTACAAGCACTCACCCTGTCTCAGACTCAAACTACTTAACCTTGGGTAAGTTTCAAAACATTCAGTGTGGTGATCTAAATAAACAAAAATGATATGCAAGACTTCAAGTAAATACCTCTTCTGAGATACTCGAGAGGAGTGAATGCCAGATTGATACTGTAATTCATTCGTCTCTACTATTTTTCATCAGATCAAAGCACGAAAGTCTGATGGAACTACGACAACGGTGGTGGTGGTTTCAACGATATATAGATATTCAGATAGGTGGGGTTAAGTTTAACGCCGGCTAATGTTTGTATAACGCTGTTAACTTATGTTACGTTGTATGTTCGAATCTACCAATGATTAACGAAGAAATTTTAGAGTAAAATTAAATAAACGACGTATTTTTGTTTCAATTTTAAAAGCACACTAGAGGATGGCCCGTGCTTTCGCACGGATGATGTTTTTTAAACTAAAGATATAATTGGATTTGTAATAATATTTGGTATTCAATAGTATAGGATAAACATAATAGTCTTGTATATTTTAATTTTAAGTCTATAGAGTTAAATCGCGTGTTGATTTGTATATTTTAACTGTATAGAAAGTAAATAATATATACAATAGTAATTAGGTCTGGTTTTAATATAAGTACGTATATATTATATTTTCCATAAAACCGTTAAATTTATCAATCACGGACATTACCTCAACGGTGTATAAGAAAATGCAATCTTTTAATATAATTTACAAAAATTGTATATCGGTTGAAAGATAACATAAGTGATATATAACAATTTCATAAATTTGGATAATCTATTTATGAATACCTTATCAATAAAATTTAACTATTGGCAAAAGTATATGATAACTTAATCTGCTAAAATGTTAACAAAAAAGGAAAATATGATAAATATTGTAATTGTAAACAATTTTAATATAAAATTTAATCTTTAATCTACTTGAAATAAGGTAAATTAAATGTTTTAAGTTTGATAATGTACGAAATATTTAAATTTAGAAATATTAATGAAAAACATAAAAAAACTGAGATTTTTCACCTAAACTATTTCCTTAATTGAAAATTATAATACCTATTAAATCTTTTAGATATTCGAAAATAAGATTTAATTCCAAGACCTGATTAAGAGACCTGTTTTAAGAGATGACCAGAATATCTTTCAAAGTAATGCTATTTTAATATTTTAAAATTTAGTTTAAATTAATTAAA